CTATAGTAAGGAGCATACCCCAACATTCCTGTTTGTGGTCTCTTCTACCCCTGTAGCCACAACCCAGTCTTCTAGTTACAAGTCCAAACTGAACAAAAGAACACAAGCCAGCTGCTTCAAAAGAAAACAAGTAGTTCTCCTCTTTGGGTAAATACTGCATGCAGGCCTTACCTACTTAGAAATCTTATCCCCAGCTTCCCTGGGTGGCTTGTATACCCATCCATCTCCAGTACTGCCCATACTTTTGAGAGCTCCTTTTTCTGCTGCGGGCTCCTTTTGTACGGCCCCAGGCTGGACTTAAATCACCCAACCTAATTTCCTTCCAGCCAAATGACTGGGTCCACTACATCCAGTGACTAGGTGCAGCCAGTTGCTGATTAAGTCACCCAGCTTTATCAATCCTGGGATTGGTCTACCTGCACTGCTTTTCTTAGCCGCCTACTCTCTCAAGCCCCACTAGTAACAGGAGTAGGGGTTCTCTGTTATAACATAGTACTAGCAATTATAATAGTTAATATACTAGCAATTGTAGCTTTACACAGTCTTTTTATTCAACAGATGGACAAGATGTCTGTCTGTAATCTAAATATACAAGTACCATGAATATGCATGAAAACAATATTTGTGTAGGGGAAATGAACCAGATTAGGGTGCCTGTGTAGATTATGCACTCTGCATACAGTTGAAATATTAGTGTTTAATGGCTTGTGCAAAAATTAGGTTCCTATCCACTGCAATGATACTGCTCTTCCCAAGATAAAAAACACAAATCATAGTAGTCAATAATGTGCAGTGAACCAATGCAGATAACAAGAGTAAACAAACCACTTGGTTCAACCTAGACAAAAGCTGGAGAGTGTGCTTCTGTGAGTATTAGGAAACTTAATTAACATCTCTCTGTGTCTAAGTAATGCAATTAGAAGCTGTCTGCCATAATGTCAAACACACTTGTAGGAGAAGATGAGATATCAGTATTTATGCCAACAGTTTGCATCTTTCAAACAAATGCATCTTTAAAACAAACTAATGAAACTTACAGTATTTACTTGTATCCTACATAGACACCTCCCCTCTTCCCCCCCCCCCCCAAATTAAAAAAAATAGCCCTTCCACTTTGGGGAAATACAGGGAAGCTGATTTCTGTGCTGGAATGGATGCACTGAGGCACTGTAATGACTGCTGAGGGCTCTGCTTCTCTCTGGCCAGCGTTCAGTAGGGGTACAGTTTGACAGCAGATATAAAAGCATTAAAATTCTAGCTTTTGTCTGAAGCAGGCAGTGAGCTGTGCCATATATTCAGTTTTCAGTCACTACTCTGGAAACATTGGGCACTTTTACACATGCTATGGGGGGGGGGGGGGCGGCGCTTTAATTAGAGTGCCTCTGAGAGCTGCTCTAATTAAAATGCTGTGTCTTGTATATCATCATCCCTGCACTTAAACACGGTGGTGAGGACACTTGAACTAACGCTTATTTGACAAGCTTTAGTTCAAACACCCCTGCTTCCATTTTTAAGTGCAAGGACACTGATATACAAGACACAGGAGACTGCTGGACATGCTAGAATTCCAGTGCATTGGAGCAGCCTTGCTGATCGTGTATAGGCACCAATCTTTTTTTTCCCTTCTCTTACCTTCCCAAAAATAGGAGCATGTTGTATTTGGGGATGTGCAGTATGTGAGGAAAAATGGTAAATCCAGTATATCACTGAGTAAGAGTGATTAATTAAGTTATCTTTAAACTGCTAAACATTTTTTGTTCTATTCAGAATTACAGAACTTCTTCAATAACCCTAAGAAATGTCGTCCCACCTCAACAGTGAAATGTTTGGATGAAATTAGATCTCATTTGAAGAACAGTTGTTGCTGTAAATTTTGGCAATTTGTCACATAAGGGCCTTAGGATAGAGGAGAGCAATAAGAAAGGACAATTAACAGGTATATATTCTTTTACTGGGAGGAAAGGACCTGGCCGGCACCACCGCTGCCATTGGCCCCAGCCCAGTGCTGCTTCCAGGCCGAGGCTGGGGCCGTGAACCTGCTCAGGCCCGGGCCCCATCCTGGCACTGCCGACTACCCTGGCAACCAGGTGGGGCCATGCCAGCTGCCAGCGGACCCGGCCCCAGCCCCAGCCCTCACTACTGCCGCCACTGCGGGCCCCAGCACCATGCTGCTGCTGGGCTGGGGCCATCGGCACTGTCAGGATGGGGTGAAGGCCCGGCCACGTGCTGCTAGCAGGCCCTGGCTCTGCAGGGGCCCAGCCCCAGCTGGCACCACTGCCGTTGCCCACTCCAGCCCTGCGCAGCTGCAGCCTCAGCCCAGTGCCACCACTGGCCCCATACCAGCGCTGGCAATGGCCTGGCTGCAGCCCAAGCCCTATGCTGATTCAGGGCCCAGCCCCATGCTGCTGGCCCCAGTTCCAGCCCCGCAGTGCCCACAGCTGGGCTCCAGGCCCAGCCCCCTGTTGCCCATGGGCCCAACCCCAATGGGCGCAGTGGCAGCACCTGCTGCTTTCATGGAGCCCAGGGCCAGGAGACAGCCAGAGCTAGGGTGGGGAGGCAGCAGCAGTTTGCAGCCTCCCAGCTGCAGCCAGCCCAGGTTTGAGGCATCTGCTGATAGCCATGGAGCCTGGGGTGCTTCTAGCAGCAGGCTGGGAGGATGGAAGCCCTGCTGCAAGCAGCCTGGGCTCTGTGGCTATCAGTAGCTACCCAGAACCTGGGTTGGCTGCAGCTGGAAGGCTACAAACATCTGCTGCCTCCTGGCCCCAGCACCAGCTGTCTTCCAGCCCCAGATCCAGTCCTGGGCTCTGGGGAGGCAGCAGTTACTGGCAGTGCTCTCCACTGTGCTGCCCTTACCGCTGCTTCTGAACAGCAGCGTGTGAAACCCAGCATGGCAGTGCACAGTGTGGGGTACAGAAAGCTGCCTGCTGCTCCAAGCTCCCTGCTGCCCTGGCCACACATAACCTGCAGGCGGGGGCAGCAGCAAGGGGCACAACCCTGCATGCTGCCCACACTGCTCTCATGCACACAGGGGAAGTATGACCCAGGCAGCGCAGAGCTTGCAGCAGCAGGCAGATTCCCTAAACAGCCCTTCTGTGTGCTGCCACTCTGCGTCACACAGGCTGTGCTCTGGAGGGCCCAGGGGAAGGCAGCAGGGCTGGGAGCGCAGTGTGTGTGAGGGCAGCACAGCAGGGAGCATCCCTGGTATCTGCTGCCTCCTGGGAGCCTGGGGCCGGGTCTGGGAGACATCTAGGGCTGGGCTAGGGTGGGAAGGCAGCAGCTGTTTGAAGCCTCCTGGCTGCAGTTGCTCCACATTCTGGGTAGCTGCTGATAGCCACGGAGCCTGGGCTGAGGGGCAAGGGGCACAAGCAGGGCATCCTGCCATGTAGCCCTTGCCCTTGTTCTGTTTTTCTTGCATGCTGGCAGTCTGGCACCTTCCAAGATAGGCATTGTGGGTTTTTCCAGCACTCTGGCCAAAAAACATTGCCTACCCCTGCTCTAGCCCTTGTAGTGGTTCTGAGAAGCTTGAAAAAGGGAGCCATAAAGATTCAAAACCACAAAATAAACACATATAATACAATATGGACTCATTATATTTTGTAATTCTTAAGAGAATCTTATTTAGTCCGGGCAAGGAGCTAACCTTTGACTTGTTTAGTTCTTGGGATGTTAGTCTTGAACCAGTCCTATCAACAGCATTTTACAGGTTACCTTCAGTGTTGCACTTAACCCCCTAAATATTAAACTAGAATACTCAAGTCTTTGGTCTTTGATTAGAACTTCATACTGCTCCCTTTGGTGTCTGTTCATTACCTAATGAGTTCAGTGAAAGTATGGATATGCTTTTCAGTGAAATTTCTATTGCAGTTAGAGAGGGCGATTAGCTTGGGAAGGAAGAAAAGAAAAGACTTATGGTCCACAACGTAAGTCAGTTTTACTTGATCATGAGTTACTTTTTCCTTTTATGGAAAGTATTTTGAATAAGTGCATGATGAAGGAAACAGTAGATCTCACTTTCATCGAGTGTAGTCAAACTTTAGAAAAGCTGTGGAAATTATCTCTGCAAACACGATTTAAAATTTATAGCTAGCTTATTGCTAAAATTGTACATTAAATATGTAGTTGCAGGAGGCTGATATATAATTGTTTATTGATTTTTTTTTTTTTTTTTTTCTTTTTGGGGGAATGAAATTTATTAGAGAAATGGGAAAGTGATTAACACTGTGAAGGAGAAATCCTTAGTATATTAAAAATATATTGACTAATTGTATTAGGTCAAAATATGATATCCAGAAATCTTTAGAACTTCAGTGATATCAGTAGTATATAGGGTACACATCTTGTCAAACTGTAAAAACTGATAAACCCCACCCCTAAACACCCCCCCTCTTGGCCGCCATCTTGGCCGCCATCTTGCAAACGGAAGTCACGCCCCTGACCTTTGCCACCGGAAACTCCACCCCGAACCCTCCTGGCAGCCATGTTGGTAGCCATATTGGCCGCCATATTGTCTCCCAGAACACCCCGCTCCCACTACATGGACT